TTCTGGTTCACATGCATGCCTTTAAAGCTCTTACTGCAGGACAATCCCAAATCTTTTTGTTACATCTGTTATGCAACTCAAATCAGTTTCTTGCCTGCTTCTTTATGGTCCTTTTGTTTTCCCCAGGCTAAGAAATGCTAACTGTGGTGAGAAGGGCTATTTGCTGAGTATTTCCAGGGCTGGTTCACAGAGGCTGCTACTTTTTCTGGTCATGCATTTTTCCTTACGCAGTGGCTCAAATTCATCCAGGGTCAGTTTTTAGTTTCCTTGCTGTTTCGTTAAATGCTGTTCCTTCTTCCTAGACTTACTGTCTTTTTGAAGAGTAAGTTATTTCTACATGTTTGTAGAAACAAAAGAATTCATTTGAGATAGTCATGGGGGGTTTTATGGCCATTAGGTTTTCTGGTCTTGCTTCATGCATAACACAGACCGTTGAATTTTGTCTGGTAATTCTCACATTAAGCTTAATAATTTGTGGATCGAAGTGCAGCTGTCGTGTATGAACACAACCCCTCATAGTATAAAGAAGGTTTGTAATAAATGAATATAACAAGATCTATCCGTTACTGAGCAGGCTTGCTGTGCCATGGGAAACTTCTGACATGGTTACGTACTTTGATTTTACTTGGAGTTATGCTGGGGTTAGCTGAACATACAGTGAGGCCAAAGCAGCAAGATGGGAGGTTTTCCAACATGGAAGAGTGTCCCTTTTGATAGTTAGTTATAGATGCGTCTATGCAGTCATTGCTGTTGCTGTTAAATTTGCTCTCAAGGTCAAATCTGACCTTACAGTTTTAGGGAGCTTACCAGGAAGTTAGCAATTCCATTTCGGATTTTTCATGTGCTTTGTATAACCTTTCTGGAATGTACAAGCCGTAGATACAATAGCCTGGTTACTAGGGTATTACTGCAGCAGCCATGTAATCATTTCCTTAGCCAAGCAGCTCTACTATATGTATTTCGACCCAGACTGTTGTTCACTAAATGCTAAAAGTATCAGGGAGCAAAAAGCAGAGCTCATCATGGTGGTGTCTTGTTGGCTCAGATAGCCATGGATAGGCATAGTGGAGGGCACTTGGCTCAGAAAAATCAGACTTTTCTCCTTGATTTGGAGTGATTGCTACTTTCTTAGCTTCAGAAATTCCTTCATGCCAGCAGCATGATTTTTACAAAACTAAATGCCCCTATGTCAAGCATCTATGCATGTGTCTGGAAATATGAATACGAATATTTATATGTATACATAGGCTTTGAGTGAGTAAATATAATGGTAAATAGCAACTATATTGCACTAGTATCTAAACGTCCTACTTAGAGGTGGTTCACTCTTAGGCTGCAGTGTACAAACAGAAAAACTTATTCCAACTAGGAAGGCAAAACTTTTATTTCTATATACGTTAAGAGAGCATATGTTTTATTTATACTTAATCATAATATGACAAAAAGGAAGGAACACAGAAGTAACCAGAACAAGTCATCTAACATAGGTGTTTGAAATCATCAACTTCAGAAAGAAGAATCAGAGCACAAGTGTATCTTGCAAAAAGTTATATTTGCATTGATCTGAGGCATGCAAGAACCAAATTAGTTGAGTTTTTTTTGAAGCTTTGAAGAAACCTCATCTACTCCACTCAATGGCTACAAGTCATTGCATTAGACACAGATTATAAAACACGCTCTTAAATATTTGCAGGTCTGAATTTTATTAGCATGTCTGCTAATAAAAGAACACCACCAAAACTCACTCTTCTTGTCACCATTAGCTTCCTTCAACAGGAGCAGTAATCATGTTTGGAACAGGGAGAACTGGAGTTCTCAGGTGCAGTTCTCTCTCAACCGGTATGGTTTAGTGTAGGCCAGACTGAACTGCAGTGGTCTACATTGACTGAAGATCTCTCTATTGAAGTTTGCAAAACTTTTATTTGGAGACAGTGCTGGTGCTTGCTCGGCCTCACTGTCTAGCCACTCATGCTTCATCAGACGCTGTGTTCACAAGCACTTTTGATTAGAAAGTAGTTTCAGCACAGTTGCAAGTGAGAACATTTGCATCACTCCCAGGAGCCCAACCAGAGCTGAGTATTTGCTGAAAAGGAAATTTGTACTAAAAATAAGTGTGACCTTCTCGAATCAGCACTTTTCTGAAATTCCACTGAAACAGTACGGCTCTTTCCACCATTGTAAGAACAGCAAAAGTAATGTTATTTTTGAATAATTACCTCCTAGTAAAAAGCTGTCTTTGGATGCAACTTGAGGCCTACTCGATGTTACTTCATTGGCAGAGGCATTGATACAGATGTGTAGTCCTCTTGAACCATTGACAGATCAAAGTAGACATTTTGCATTTACTTTGGGTGAATTTGCACAGCTACGTTTGCACCAGAGCAACAGAGAATTGTGCCTTTTTCTCTCTTCTCCTTCTTTTCTTCCCCAGAAGCTACCCTTAAGAATGACAGAGGATTTAATATACTTAAAAAACTACAAAGCTAGTCTTTCTTAAAAGGCAATATGTCAGTTCATTCATCAGTTAGTTGTTTTCAGGTAAAAGAAAAAATCTGGCCTGATAACATGTACATAAAGTGACTAAGAACCGTGCTAGGCGTTGTTCATTTTCCTGGAAGCCATCTCCTGTACGCATTTAGGTAGAGGGGTACACAGGGAATGACGGTGCAGACTCGCCCATGGGAAAAGTTTTTCAAGCTCTGAAGTGGAACGGCAGCGATATGTCTGTGGCACCATAATGCTTTCCTCATAGCATGCACACGCTGTTAGATAGTGGATGATGTGCTGATAGGGAGTAACAGAGAGCGGCTGTTCTTATGCTCCAGAGTCTTGCTGTGAGACGAGTGGTTTGAATTGTCAGCCTGCAGACTGATACTGTGGATGAATAAGGTTTAAGTGGAAGAATTGGATTGCTCGATAAGTTTCTTCCCGTTAAACTATTGCTCCTCATGTGCGTTTCAGAAAGACTTCTGCATTGGACTGTAACATTTTCAAGAAGGAAAGAATTTCATTCTTTTTGTGCATTAAGATAAGGCACTTTCTTTTGTCATTTTGCATTGTACTTGCAGGGGCACAATTTCTAAAGTGGCAAAATTACATTTCAAAAAACTGTGTAGAGAGAAAGGAATTAACCCCTTTAATGCGTATATCTTAGTTTTAATTCAAACCTTTTGAGGGAAACTGTTTCCAAGTGTTATATTTAGTTCTGCTGCTTATTTCCACTTTGGGCATTCCTAAGGGCCCCAAATGATGTTTCGCTAAGCGTGGAAACAAATAGAAAGAAACAGCTCCTGCCCCAGAGAGCTAACAGTCAAGAGAAAATGTAAGAGGTGATTAAGGAGACAAATGGAGGAAACAGGTAAAGAAAATGTCTGCAGGATAGCTGTGTCAGTAATCATACACAGCTATCGGCCTAACCAGTGCTAGATGGAAATGCTTCTCTTGGGGCTTGCATATACCATCTTCTAGTATGCATACTCACATAAGATATAATAGACAGACAGTGTCTGTATTGTGTTGCATTTATTCTTGCTATTTTTATCCTTTGCCATCCGTCAGACACTTTGTTCAGTTAAGGTGTCAGTCATTGCCTTACATTAAATTTTATTTTTTTCTGGTCTCAGTCTAACTTGGTCTGTCAGTTATTTTGCTAATAGAAATAGAGAATCAGCCAAGTTTCCAGTTTGTGTGTTTGACTAATAATAGGCAAACACAGAGTATAATAAATCATTAGTCCTTATGGACTGTATCGCCCTGCAACAGAGTCCTTATTCCAATGCAGTTATAGGAGCTGAAATTTTATTTGAACACAAATATCTGATAAGGCAAATTACTTATTGTGACATTTTTCAATTGGGTAAAAGATGAGGAATCAGCTGTGTCTGTGAAATTACAAATGAAAATGCAACACTCAAGACTTATTAATGCTTTTTTTGGCATTGAGAAAGGAGACATAGGTATCTAATATTAAATGGTGTTGCAGAAGGGCAAGTTAGCACTTCGTTTGCCAAATTAAGTTTCAAAGACTATGTAGGTTATGAAGTTTGACTTTCTGACAGTAAATCTTGAATGACTGACAGACTACTGTAAAATAGCTTTGTTCAAAAGGAATCTTTGGCAGGCAGCATCAAAGGTTTGAAAATCTGGAAAGGATGAAAAGAAAACCCCACTTTTACACTGATTTCCCCTGCAGATCAACGTCTGTGTGAAATTTGCCTGGGAATTATGAGCTATTTACTGTATTATGTGCTGTTTTCTTTCACTGTATCCAAAGGCCCCTGTGGTTCCTTTTATCTTCAAGATTTAGGGATATTTTTGTACATGAAATGTGAATGAGTGAATGCGTCAGTGGAACACAGGGAAAAAAAGCTGGGTTTAGACAGTTCTGTTCTCCCTTATTTTATCGCAAGTTGGAGTATTGGTTTTATGGCACCTAAATTTATGGGTACATATTTTTATGGTAAAACCCAATGACATGTTCTGCATGCTCCATCAAGCTCTCTCAGTGTTCCTTCACTTGATTCACAACTCTGCAGGGTATGAATCAGTCCTGTAGTATAACCCTTAATCTCTTTTTAACCAGAATAATGTAGTGTGGTTTTTTTTATTTATGGTGTGTGTCATCATGTCATCATCTAATTATGTAAACCAAAGAAGGGGAAAACAAAATATTTCCAAAAAAACTCTTGTCAGCTGTCGATCAATGCAGGAGACAAATTTTCTTTATTGAATATAAGCAGCTGAGGCAGAAAATTCTTCGTAGATATTTAAGTCTGTCCTCAAGCAAGATGTGGCGCTGCTGGGGCGTGGGCTAAAGGGAAACTGGCCTGGTAGGGGGAGTTTTTGCTTAGAAACACAATATACCTCCTCAGGTACGGTGAGAGACTTGGGGGGGAAGGAGAGCTCCCTCTACTTCCCGTTGACTCTTTTTAGCTTTCTGTATGCAGTGGTTAAAGCTGAATGGACAGAAGGTGCTGAGGCCCTTTGTTTGTCTTCCACAGGGTGAAGTGAAGAAGTGAAGCCTCCCAGCTGAACTACTATGAGGTCAGAAGCCTTGCTGCTATATTTCACACTGCTACACTTTGCTGGGGCTGGTTTCCCAGAAGATTCTGAGCCGATCAGTATTTCGCATGGCAACTGTAAGTATAAGAGGCCAGAGGGCTTCATTTGCTTAATACCGATCAGCGGACTTCAAATCAACAGTATTTTGTTACAGTTACAATGAATAAAATTGTTTTTCTTGATGTCTCCCAGATCAGCCAATTTACGTTCACAGATACTAATACAGGAACATGACTTTTTCATGTTGACTTATGACTACTGGGTGGTAAACTGCTTGATCTTCCAAAACCATAACCTTTCTCCTTCTCAAACAGAGACACTTCAGTAGCATAATGAAACCAAATATTGCTCTATCCAGCATCAGAGGAAAGAAGCCTTCTCCCGCCCCCACCCCATAATCCAAGAGTCCGTCACCTGGCTTGTGAAAATGTAGTTCTGGATAACCAGTGAAGCCCCCCAGAGTATCAAGCATAGCACACTAAAGTATTGGAGGTCTGCAAACGTAATTTGTTGATCTACTACAAATAATTGAACTTACTTCTTTAAGCTCTGATGGATTCTGCTTTAGCATTAGGCATTTTTTGCTAAGCTGGAAATGCAGCTAAAAAAAAAATAATCAGGACAAAGAATCTTTTGTAATAGAATCTCTCTTCCTTCTTTCCAGCAGTAATTGGCAAACTCTCCAAAATCTAGGGTAACACAGACAGCTGCACATCAGTATTGCGATTAGCTGGCTAAACAGGTGAAGAGCTTTCTGTGCATTTCGCTATGCAAGTGAGGCTTAGCATAGCTGATTCCTTCACATTTGCCTCAACTCAATTACGATTACTGCAAAGAAAAGTCTTCTGAAGTCCCAAAGGTTCAGATGTTTAAAAGGAAGTCCTTAGCACCTGGGTCTGTAAAAGTATGCTACGGAGTGGCGAGTCAGCAGTGAGTAGGCTTATGTTTAAGCTTACTTTGGGTCAGGAATTTGAATTTAAAGCAAATCTCTTTATTGTCCTTGCTTACTGTGCTTTGGAGTGGCCAGAAAAAAAAAAAAAATATCTTGACAGTTAAACTTGGCATTTTGCATGTAGGTCTTGCTCAGAAGGATTAAGCTTCTGAACGTAAATCTCGCCTGGGCTATCTTGATTTGTTTCTCCAAGAGTTCTTGGCATCTGATTTGCAGGGAAGTTCCTGCAGTTTTATCTCTTTCTAGACAGTTTTATCACCAGGCTTTCTGACACATGGCACTCTGAAGTGCTTTGCTGAAGCCATGGTGTGAATCAATACTTTGACCGAGCTTAATAGGGAAAATACTTCTAGAGGACAATAGCTGAAAACACTACAGCAGTACCTGAGTTTCTGAAGAAACAGACTCCCTCAAACAGCTCCAGGTTTCTGGGAAAGCATTTTGATGGGGAAAAGGCTCAGGCATTGCCAGATGCTAGTCAGCTCTGTATTACATGCGCGTGGCAGCAGTTCTGCTCATCAGAGGTTTATCCTCCTCCTGTCTTCCTTGTTTTGTTTACTTAACTAGCTCCCTAGTTCATGCATCTAGATGTCATGATCGTGTATACATATGAAGTCTAACAGCAAGGTGGCCCTTGGTCAGAAGTGTTCACTGTTGTTACAGGTTGTGCACCCAGATCATCTGGGGAGCGGCAGCACACCCTGTGTATGCTGAGGTCTCACCAAAAAAATAGTGATAATAGAGTGAATAAATGCTCTTGCTGACTGATAGAGGGTGGGGGAAAGCTGACTTGTTGATCATGTAAGCTTAGTACAGGGCTTCCGGTGGTGTTGACCAATTGCCAGAAATCCCCACAGCTGTTCTACAACAGCTGTCCAATCCTGTAGGAACTGGGGAGGGAGCTGGCAGTTTGAACCAAGGAGGTCCAAGTCTTTTGCTTCAACCACTACCAGTCCAGTCGTTGTGGTGATTGACGGGCCACTGCAAAACAGCTTTGTCCTGCTAGACACCCTTTGGCAGCCAGGAGCGAGCATTTAAGTTCTGCAAGCAGTGAAAGAAAAACTGTGAGAAAGTGCCATGTACCTATGTGCCAAGAGCTCCAGAACAACTTTATGCTCTAACAAAACTCAGATTTTTGTCTTCTACAAAGACAAAAATCACAAAGGTGATGACTTTCTCCTTTGCAGACGCAAAGACTGTAGCCCTGACGGACTCTCCAGCCCTCTGTGCTCCTGCCTTCCAACCCCACGCTGTGGTGCCAGGGCAAAACAGAAACCACAGGTTTTGGCAGTAGCTGGGCCCCATAGTGCTCCATGTTATCACGCTTTCAGTTTGTGGTTCTCTTTTGATGCTGGTTTTTTTTTTTCCTTCCTGCAGATACAAGACAGTATCCGGTGTTTGTGGGTCACAAACCAGGGCGGAACACCACGCAGAGGCACCGGCTGGACATCCAGCTGGTCATGGTCATGAACAGGACCCTCTACGTTGCTGCTAGGTCAGTATCCCCTGCTTGGCTGCTCCTCCCTTGCCGCTGTCAGAGGAGGAAGGAGAAGACAAAAGATACTCTGAGTTCTTCTCTGCCGGACACGTTATTTTTAGGATTTTCTCACACTCAGAGAGAGCTTTTGCAGCCTCTTAGTAAGTCATAGTGGAAACCTTGTTAATCGGTCAACTCAGGTTCAGTTTGGTGAGGTGCTGAGTCCTTTGAGGACTACACACCTCTGCCTTCCTTTGAGTCTGGCAAGAGGGAAGTTGCCAGAGAAATTGTTCGGCCCTATGGAGGAGAGAGTCCATCCTCATCCTGTAGTTTTTGTTTGTGCACACCATTAATGATAAATTTTAGAGAATGATTCTGTTAGTGCACAAGTGTATGTTCAGATAAGAGCTATTAAACCATAGCGTTGGTTTAATATCTTAAGACAAAAAAGAGGCAAACATATTTGCTGCTGTTCTTTTCATGTACTCGGCAAGGTTAATTAAATTTGGTGTCTGGATTTTTTTTTGGAGAGCTATACTGTGCAGATGCAAGCACATGCCCCCTTCTAAAAATTGCATGTAGAGCCACCCATTCAGTTTACGTAGCTCAGCATGGCACCATCAGCTTCACTGGAGCTACACTGATTTATACAGCTGCCAGCATGGCACAGATCAGGCGTTAACACTTCTTCTCCCTGCCTGTTGTTAGCAAAGGAGATTGAGGATCTTAGAGTGGGAATTACCTGATGGGTGCAGGGTAAACGCAAGAAGGGTCCAGATTTGCAAGGGTGGGTAGTCCAGCTTAGGAGCTCTTGGACCCAGATCCTGTTTGGGACCTCCCCGCAAGCTGCTCCTCTGGTAGCAGCATGTTTCCTGCTGGTTTTCTGGTCCTTCTCCTCCATCAGAGAAATACACGCCCTTCTGCGCGTGCCACAAAGAGCCAGGTTGTTGCTGCAGATGGGAGAAGTGGTGGGTGGGATGGCCAGGGGGCAAGAGGGAACAGCTGCTGAGCAGGCAGCCTCTTGCCACCAGCCCCGTCCTCAAAGCCCTTGCCAGCCTCGGGGAGCTTGCCTGCCTGCCTTTTCAAACAACCACCCCCCATCTCCTGGGTGGCCGGATGTGTGCTGCGGTGGAGATCTGCCTGTTGATCTCCACTTGGCACCAAGTAATTGGTTGCATTACACCAGCAGGGTCACCGAGTGCCGTTTTCACGTAGTCACGTCCCTGGCTGCAGGAAGACCACGCTGTTGACCTACCCAGTCATTGCAGCCTTTCCAGCTAAGCACAGCTTCTTTGGACCTCTCACTTAGGCCAGTCTGTATGGGATCTGGGCAGCAGAGCTCTGGGTTCTCACACGTGCCCAAGCCCTTGCATCAAGTCCAGGCAGAGAGCGTGCACCTTTCCATGGGGAGCTGCGGGGGCGCTGACTGT